CAGCAGCATAAGTCCCACCATGGATTCCCCTTCTCTCCCTTATTCCTTCTAGAACAGAGTCCAATGTTAGTCCTCACATGTCCCCAGTCTCCTGGGGCAGGCAGGACCCTCCCATTCCCAGGTGTCCAAGAGATCTGTCCAACCCACAAGAGTGGTTTAAAGCATGACCTTTTAAAAAATTAATATTTTAATATATTGTTAAAGGAATTTTAAAAGGAAAAAACTCCCTAAACACAATGTTTCCCCATTCCTTTCCAGTTTTTTCTATATATACATGTCCAAAGTAAATATTCTATTTATACACATAAAAATATCTAGGTTTTTATTACAGTTTACATTCGATATTATTTTGTATTAGTTTCAGGTGTACAGCACAGTGGTCAGACAATCATACACCTCACAAAGTGCTTCCCCCGATATTTCCTGTGTCCACTTGGCACCACACATAGTTATTACAATATTATTGACCACAGTCTCTATGCTGTACTTTACATCCCCATGACTATTTTGTAACTACCTATTTATACTTATCAATTCCTTCACTTTTTCATCCTGTTCCTCAAGCCCCTTCCCCTCTGGCAATCTTCAGTCTGGTCTCTGCATCTATGAGTCTGTTTCAATTTTGTTTGTTCACTTATTTTGTTCTTTAGATTACAAATATAAGTGAAATCATATAGTATTTGTCTTTCTCTGATTGACTTATTTCACTTAGCATAATACCCTCTAGGTCCATCCATGCTGTCACAAATGGTAAGGTTTAATCTTTTTGTGGCTGAGTAATATTTCATTGTATATATGTACCACCACTTCTTTATCCACTTGTTTATTAATTGGCACGTGGGTTGCTTCCATAGCTGGGCTATTGTAAATAATGCTGCAAATGGACATCAAGGTGCATTTATTCTTTTGAATTAGTGTTTTGGGTTCCTCTGGTACATATCAGAAGTGGAATCGCTGAGTAGTAGGCAGTTCCATTTCTTTTTCCTTTTTTAAAAAAATTTTATTTAGTTATTTTTCAAGTACAGTTTTTTGTCTATTTCTCCGATCCCAGCCCCCCCTGCCCCGTCTCCCCACCTCCCTCTCATTTCCACCCCCCAGTCCTCATCCCTGTGTCTTTCATACTTGTTCCTCAAAATCCCTCCTCATTTTTCCCCTTAAATTCCCTTCCCTCTCCCCTCTGGTCGGTGCCCGCTTGTTCTCTATTTCAGCGTCTTTGTTTTTATTCTGTTTGCTTGTTTGTTTTGTTGTTTAGCTTCCTGTTAAAGGTGAGATCATATGGTATTTGTCTTTTTCAATGCCTGGCCTATTTCACTCAGCATAATGCTTTAAACAGTATGGAATTTTCTCAGAAAAATAAAAATCGACCTGCCTTTTGACCCAGCAATTCCACTGCTAGGATTATATCCCAAGAATCCCAAAACATCAATATCAAAGAACCTATGCACCACAATGTTCATAGCAGCACAATTTACAATAGCCATTTTTTGAGGACCCTCCATACTGTTTTTCATAGTGGCTACACCAATCTGCATTCCCACTAAACAGTGCACCAGGGTTCCCTTTTCTCTACATCCTGGCTAACACCTATTGTTTGTTGGCTTATGGATAATAGCCATTCTGACAGGTATGGGATGATATTGTGGTTTTACTTTGCATTTCTCTCATGATTAGTGATGTTGAACATCTTACGTCTATTGGCTATTCATATGTACTCTTTGGAGACATGTCTATTCAGGTCCTCCACCTATTTTTAAATTGGATTGTTGGGTTTATTGGTATTGAGTTGTATGTGTTCTTTATAAATTTTAGATATTAATCCCTTATTGGATGTATCAAAGCATGACCTCTTTCTGTTTGAACCTGGAGGAGTGATGTGGGGTTTTGAGGGGAGTATCCCTTGGCCCTCCCCAAACAATATAGGAGAGTTGGTAAAGGCCTACATTTCTGGTAGTCTGGTGACCTGAGTTCAAATCACAACTCCTCCATAAACTAAATTGTGTGGATTGAGGCAGATTCTTTATCTGCAAAACCTGAGATGAGCGACCTTGGAGTGGGCTCTCCCGCTCACATGGTAATGAATCTTTCAAAAGCACTAGCACCTTTTCAGGAGACCTCCCTCTTATTACTCTGTCCTACTCCGAGCCATTTGTCTGTTCATTCAGCATTACTTTAGTGCCTAGTGTGTACCTTGCCTAGTCTAGTGCTAGAACCAAAACAGGGTTTTATCTGCTCCAAGCTGCACAAGTTTCACCTGTTTTAATGTAAACCTCATATTGGAGTGTAGCACACATACAGAGAGTACACAGACCACGGGTGATTGGTGGAGTGACTTTTCACCAGCAAATATACAGGTGGAACCAGAACACAGGTTAAAGAACAGCATAGCCAGGCAGGGCACCAGAAGCATTCAATTTTTTAACATCTCTGAAATCAGGCTTCATCTCTTAAAAGCACTGCTGGGTCATATAATTCAATTGGCAGTACTATTTTTGTCTTTCTTAGTGATACATAAAATAATCATGTATTTTGTAATTAATGGCGACTCAGGATCGGTGACAGCCAATAATAACATCAGCAGCAGGAATGTTCACAGATGCCTACAAGGAGCCAGGCACTTACTTAGATCTGCATTTACTTTAATTCTGGCTACAGTCTATGTATGACATAAGCATTTTCATCCTCATTTTAAAGACGGAGAAAACTGCTCTGGCTGGTATGGCTCAGTGGATTGAGCACTTGCCTGCAAACCAAGGGGTCACTGATTTGATTCCCGGTCAGGGCAGGTGCCTGGGTTGCAGGCCAGATCAGGCCCCCAGTGGGACGCGTGTGAGAGGCAACCACACATTGACGTTTCTCTTCCTTTCTTTCTCCTTCCCTTCCCCCTTTCTAAAAATAAATTAATAAAATATTTTTTAAAAAGACTGAACAAACTGAGGCTCAGAGAAGTTAAGCAACTTGTCCATAGTCAATTCTTTTACTCCAGGCCTGTACCTGCCCTTAGCCAGGGTTACTGGGGGTATTCAGAGGTAGTGTGATGTAAGGTCTTTTCTAAAACAAAGCCTGTCCAAGGGGTCCCAGAACACTGGATTTCTAGGGCTTCATGGGGGTTGAGGGGGTGAGTTGGGAGGGGGTAAGTAGTATGACAAGACCTTCCGAGTCAGCGCTTGTTCTGAGGGCCTGGCCTGAGTGGGGTGAGAAGTGGAGTGGGGAGTGAAGAATAGTAAAAGAATTCAACGGAACCTGAGACTCCCTCCTTCTCCAGCTCCTCCAGCTATACCCCTTAAGGGGCAAAGCCAGCTCCCATTCCCCATACCTGCAACCTCACTACCCTAGCTGCCCCCACTGCCTTCTTCCACTAACCCCCCAACCTGCACCCCAATGGTTCCAAATTCCTTCTACTGCTCTTGCAGATGAAAGAAGCCTGCCCTCTCTGGAATCTCTCTCACCTTGGTCTTTCTCCCCTCCTCCTTCTCTAAAGGTAGGCTCTCTGAGACCTTTAATCCACCAGATTTCAGAAATACAAAGGCGCAGACACCTTGATTCTAGGCTTTAATGTACAACAATTTCTAATTACTTCATAGGAAATGCTTTAAATACCAGGGACAGTTTCGAGTTGCTCTTTTTTTCTGGAGAGCAAGTCTTGGAGGAGAAGGAGGGGTGACCCAGTAGGATCCCGGTGGCAATCTGTTACATATTGTCACTCTCACTGTAGAGATAAGGAAACTAAGACTCAGAGGTGTGGTGTCTCGTCCAGGTTCTAGAGCAGATCTATTTTGATTAGTCTTTGCCTCTTCCATTGCCATTGGCCGAGACTTAGTTTACACTGGGAATTGGGCAGAACCCAATTTTAATACTGAGAGGGGGTTCTGCCCATTAGGATCCTATGTGAATTGTGTGCATGGAGAGTTGGGAAATCTGACCATCGAGAACTCTCTTGACTAGTATTGTGTGGATTGAACAGTTTTTTTTTAAATAAATAAGTGAATGAATAAATGACTCTCCCATTCATTCACCACACCCAGCCTCACGCCAAGCTTTTCCCCACTTCAGGGCCTTTGCACTAGCTGTTCCCGCTGCCTGGAATGCCCCTCCCCCAAATATTCACCTGGTTGACTTGTCTCTCTTTTTTTAAATTTTATTTATTTATCTTTAGAGTGGAAGGGAAGGAGAGAGCGAGAGAAACATCAATGTATGGTTGCCTTTCATGCATCCCCTGCTGGGAATTGGCCTGCAGGGAACCGGCCTGCAACCCAGGAATGTGCCCTGACTTGGAATCGAACCGCGATTGTCTGGTTCGCAGGCCCGCGCTCAATCCACTGAGCTACACCAGCCAGGTGACTTGTCTCTCTTTAGGTTCAGCATAACTGTCACTTTCCCTCCAAGTGGCTTTCCCTAAACACTTTATCTGAATGTCATTTCCCCTTAGCAGGTAGCATTTATGATATATAACTATCTTTTGTTTCTATTTGATTCTTTCTTGTCTGTCTCCTCTTTAGAATGTCAGCCCCACTAAGGCAAGAATTTTTGTTGATTTTTTTCTACTGCTTTATCCCCAGACTCTAAAGTAGTGCCTGGCAATACATGTTTGCTAAAACCAAGAAAGCGACACATATAGAGAACAGGCTGACAGGGACCAGAGGGGAGAGGGGAGGGAATTTCAGGGGAAAGGGGGAAGGGTTTGCAGGAACAAGTATGAAGGACACGTGGACAAAAAACTAGGGGAGTGGAAATGGGAGGGAGGTGGGGAGCACTGGCGGGTGGGCTGGGATGGGAGTAAAAGACAGAAAACTGTACTTGAACAACAATTAAAGTTAACAAAAGAAAAAAGAAAAAAACGGCACAAGGAAACAAAGAAATACAGGGTGAATGACTGAGCAAACAAGTGAATAAATGAATGTATATGTATAAAGCTCAGTAAATGAAAGGAGACAGATGAATAAAAGGGACTTTGGGAGAAAAGGACCCCAAATACCCACATTTGAAATATAAATTAACTGAAATTTAGAGAAACAAAAAGATGGTTATTTTATTTTTGTTTTAAAATCCTTGACTGAGAACTGAGAAATTTTGTATAAAAAGCGCCATTGCTAAGGCAACTGGGGGCCAGTCAGAGATAACAGCACTGGAGGGGTTGGTGGGGAAGAAATGAGCCTTGGGGGCCTGGAAGCCGAGAAAGGAAGGCAGCAAGCAGCAGCTGCCTGTGGATCAGGTGCAGAACAGGTGGGGATGGTGGCCACTTAATCGTCCCATTCATCATCCTCATCGTCATCTCCAGCCTGGTCCTCCCCTTCGTCTAGAGAGGGATAGAAAGAGTGGAACTCAGGTAAGCGGGAGGGTTCATAAGCCCTGGAGAGGAGGTTTCCCAGGGTCTGAGAAGTTGGGTCTCAGGGTCCCGGGGGGCTGAGGTTTCCTGCTAGGAAATCAGATCTGGGGCCTATGCATTAGATAAAGATGGGGCCCCCTCAAAGGAGGGAGAAACAGGGTTCCTGTTTGGGACAAGATAGAGATTATAGTTGGGGTCTGGGTTCTAGTTGGAGTTGGAGTTAATATTACTGTCAAGAATGTGTGCTTAGTTGGGATATTATTGTTACACAAAAGATGAACATGAACAGGTTTGTCACGTGAATTTATTTATTTGTTTGTTTAAATTTTTATGTATTTACTTTTTAGAGAGAGAGGAAGGGAGGGAGGAAGAGAGAGAAACACCACTGTGAGAAAGACACATGGGTAGCCTGCCTCTCGCACAACTCCAACCAGGGAACCCGGCCCGCAACCCAGGCAGGTGCCCTGACTGGGAATTGAACTGGTGACCCTGTGGTTTGCAAGCCACTGCTCAATCCTCTGAGCCACACCAGCCAGGGCTATTTGTTTATTTTACTTTTATTTATTAATTTTTAGAGAGAGAAGAAGACAGAACGAGAAAGAGAGAGAAAACCATCTATTTGTTGTTCCCCTTATTTATGCATTCATTGGTTGATTCTTGTATGTGTGTGCCCTGACCAGGGATGGAACCCACAACCTTGGGCATATGGGGACAACGCGCTAACCAACAGAGCTACCTGGCCAGGGCTGGGGTGAATTGAAATATTATTACCAATAGTGGAGTAAATTACAATATTATTGTTTCATAGTGGGTTAACATCAATATTGTTGACACATAATGGTGTGGATGATCATATCAGTGTCAAAAGATATGAGGCTCATTACAATGTTGTCATATAATGGATTTGTGTTAATCTTGTGAACGCGCTCTGGGGTTCATGTTAATAGTATTATCAAAGTTGGAGTTAATTATATTATTGTCACATAGCAGGTTGAGTTTCATATTATCCTCACATAATTGACAATATTGTTGACACACTAGGGGATTCCTGTTAACATTATTGTAAAAAGATGGAATTAGTTCCAATATTATCTTAATGAGTTAGTGTTAATCTGTTGATGTATGGAGTTAGGGTTAATATTCCTGTCAAAGATGGGATTCTTTTTAATATTATCATCACATAGTGAGCTAATGTTAACACTACTGAACAAACAGGATTAATGTTAATAGTGTGGACATAGCTTGTCATTAATGTTAACATTATTGTCGAAGACAGAGTTAATTATAGTATTGCTACATAATGACAATGTTAACATTGTCAAAAAGGAGACTGATACAAGATTCCTGTTATCACTACCATCAACAGATGGGGCTAATGTTACTACTGATGGAGGCTGTTGGGGTTGTTTGGGGGCCAATACTAGCTCTGGGAGACAGGGCCACCGTCCTGGCAGGATGGGCTTCAGAGAGGGCAGTTCTCAGGTGGCAAGGAAGGGCAGACTCTCACCTGAGGAATGAATGACTCTGCTTCTCTTCTGCATTACATGCATCAGGGCACCCACCAGCCCCTCGGAGCTCTGAGGTGGTGGCTGCAGTGCTGAACTCTCTGAGGCCCCAGGGGTCTGCAGCAAGCAGGGTACAGCACGGAGGGCTCAGAGTCTATGAGAGCACTACTCCCCACCCTTTCCAGTCCCCTTCAAGGCTCCAAGCCCACCTCTCTGCGTTAACCTCCCAACCCTATCCCTGAACCCCAAAAGCCTGGGACCCCCATCAGTCTCAGCCCCAGCACCATAATAACATTCTGACTTGCACAGTACACCCCAGAGTCCCAGACCCCCAGTCCTTCATCCTGCTGGCCTCACCTTGTTCAGCTGAATTCCCTGTCGGATTTGATCCAAAAGAGCCCCCCGACCTCCAGCAGGGGCCAGGCCCCCCAAAGGCCCCAGAGAAGGAGGGCCTGGGGGAGGAACTGGTCCATCCCCAGAGCTGGGTGGTGGTGGTGGCGGCGGCGGCGGCGGCGGTGGTGGTGGTGGTGGCAGGGGTGAACCCCCAACTCCAGGGGGTGGAGGGGGTGGTGGCCCAGAACGTCCTGTGGCTGGAGGGGGTGGTGGTGGAGGGCCCCCTCGTCCTGGAAGTGGGGGTCCCCGGGGAGTTGGTGGGGGTGGTGCACCTCCGAAAGGTACAGGGGGCAGTGGACCAGAACGACCCTTGTTACTCCCCACAGAAGGGGGCCGGGGAGGCTGGTTCCCTCCTCGAGATGGCGGTGGGGGCGGTGGAAGCGGTTCTGAGGAGGGGAAATAACACAGCTATTATTATACTTTTCTTCCAAGCCTGTTTCTCTCATTTGTAAAATAGGTACCCAACTGACCAACTCCCGATTCAAGCAGTAGAGAGGTTTCCATAAGGACTGAGCAACTGGTGTATCTTTTGGAAGTCAGCTACCAGGGTTGGAGAAGAAGCAGGTGTCTAGAAGGAGGGACTCACCCTGGCGCCTCATCTGATTCCTCACAGCTTCCAGCCCGCCCTGATCCTCAATGAAGTCATAGATAAGTTTGGAGGTCTCAGCATCAGTGAGCTGGGCCTCACTGATTCCCGCTCTAGAAAACAGGCTCCGCAGATCTGGGTCTAGGTTGTTCACCTGCCCAGGAGGAAAAAGTCAGGGGCAGGGTGGGTGAATAAGGTGGGGAGGGAAGGGGTATGTGTTATCACTGCATCGACCCCAGAGAGGGATCTGAAGGAGTGTGGGAAGGGTGGGGTCTGGGAGTAGGTCTGATTGCTGGACTGTGGAAGGGTAGGTGAAAGTCAAATGGGGTCCAGGGAACTTTGGAGTTACTCACGTCAAATCCATTCTGGGGGTCCCATCCTACATGGCTGACATGTCTAGGGAAGATGAGGAGACCCCAGTAAAGCCCCACTGCCTTTCCTTCCCTCCCTTCCTAGTAAGCCCTCCTGCCCTTTCCAGCCAAGTGGGACTCTGAAGGGCCAGAATTAATTAAAGGAGCCATAAGTGAATGGATGAGTGAATGAATGAGAGCAGTAGTTATGAATTAGAAGGGGTCCATAGTTTGTGGTTCCCATCTGTCCATTTCATCCCTTTTCCCACTGTCTATCCATCCATTCATTTGTCCACCTAGCCAAACACATTCACCTGAAGACCACTGATTTGTCATATATTTGTCTCTCCACTTATTTGCCCACACACATCTGTTTACCCATTTGTCCACCAATCTGTCCTCTCACACACTTGTCCACCCACCTATCCATCTACCCATGTGCCCATGTTTCCATCCATCCACTCATTTGTCCCCATTCAACCACATACTTCTGTCCGTTTATCCATTGAACAGTTCATTCATCCACATATCTGGCCACCTATCCATCCGCAACCATCCAGATTGGTTCTTGTCTGTGAACCAATCAGCCTATATATCCATCTGTCCACACACTCACTCATTCACTCACCCATCCTTCTATCTACCCACTTCCCATTTACCTATCCATCTATCCATCCAACCACTTATCCATTTATTCTCCAACCCACCCATTCATTTATTCATTTCATTCATCCATCTATTCATCTACCCACCCATCTATCCATCTATCAGCCCACCCAGGTTAGGACCAGAGTGAGACAAGTAAGATGCCTAGGGTTCAAAATTTAAGGAGGCACTCACTCTCAGAGTCATGAATTGCACTTGCATGACCCTGAAACTGACTGTCTCTGTAAATTTTGCAGCCTTCATGCCTCACTTGCCTCTCCCTAGTTTTGGCCTTGTACCCACCCACCCGTCCACTCGTGTCCACCCATCCATCTGCCCATCCTTCCATCCACTTAGCTCTCCCCCTGTCCACCTGTTCATCTGCTTCCCTCCCAGGGGTCTGTGGGCCTGCTGGAGAAAGGTTCTCACTTGAATCCACAAGGTGCACCAATATCAGCTTTTCTGATCTTTTTCTTCCCAGAGCGTTTCTTATCAGCTGGGCTAGGCCCAGGTGCGGGGAGCCCACGGTATCTTGAACTTGTGATATCTGGGTTCTGGATGTCCACTGTTACTAGCCCCAGGGATGGTGGGCCAGCTGCTGGGCCTGTGGGGAAAATAGGGTGACTAAACCATTGACCCATTTACCTACCAACCAAAGCATAGGGGCAAGAGACAGGAAGACTGCTAAGGAAATCTGTGGGTGTGTTTGATGGTCACAGAGGTAGTAGGTGAGTGATCCAGGGAGGGGTTATGGAGAAGTAGATGGGCAGTTCCCACAAACCATTCATATATTTTATTCACTCATTCATTTGTTCATTCACTCATGCTTATCACTTAAGTAGTGACTCATTTATTCACTAGCTCATTAACTAACTAATGTGTTAAATTATTTGTTCACTGATTCATTCATTCAATCATTGCTTTCTTTGCTGATTGAAAAATTTTTAAAGATTTTACTTATTAATTTTTAGAGCATGGGGGAAAGAAGGGAAAGAAGGGGAGAGAAACAGCAATGTGTAAAAAACCGGTTGCTTCTTGCATGCCGCCAATTGGAGACCTGGCCCAAAACATAGGCAATGCGTGCCCTGACCAGGAATCAAACCGACAACCTTTCGATCTGAGACCAGTGCTCAATCTACTGAGCCACACCAGCCAGGGCTGATTGAAATTTTATGTCACTTTTTTTCATTTGTTTAACTATTTAGTTCATTCAATCATTCACTCATTCTTTAATTTACTCAATCATCCCTCTATCCATTCATCCACTTATCCACATACCAATTCGCCTATGCATCTATATATCTATCCCTATTTTGATCCTCCCATCAATTCATTCCCTCACTGAACCATCTATCCACCACCATTACATCCACCCATACATCCATCCAACTATCCACCCATTCATTCACCCACTTGTCTATGCACCCACCAAATTACTCATCCACCCACATACTCCCCACCTTCCTGTCCAAAGAAGAATTAGCACTCACCCCCTTGGTCTCCACTTGGGGGCGGGGGCAGGGGTGGGAGCCCTCCTCTTCTCTCTGGGAAAATGGAATGGGTAGAGAGCTCTGACAATCCTGTCACAAGTTCCTGGGCTAGCCCCTTATTACTCCTACTTACACTAAAGGACTCACCTTCATTGGCTGGTGCTGGTGGTGGGGGTAGATGGCGTCTGTCTGTGGAGAGACAGGTAGACTAGGAACCAGAACCATGAGAGGGGCTTTTACAGCACCTCACTCTTGCACTCACCTCCACTTTGCCTCTGATTCCTTTTTTGTATCTTCTCCTGCACCAGGGTCTGGAAGGCCTTGGCCTCGCCCTCGTTTGCAAAGTTCAGCCCCACTTGGCAGTCCTGTGCACACCTCAGGGTCAGCAGCCTTCCAAGCCCCCCATACATTTTCCATCTTCCCCCACACCCCAACTGAGGTCCAGGGGTTGGGTGGTCACTTACATCTCCAGCAAAGGTGTGGAAGAAGGGGGTAGGAGTGGAGTAAACCAGTTGTGAGTACAGCTCCTGCTCCCAGAGCAGCCGGCCTGCCTGGAGAGGTGGGGAACACAATGGCACTGAGACATGCCCTGGGTGGCAAGTCTCTGTTATCTGGGTAGGGAGCATGGTGTCCACATTTGGGACCCCAGGATCTGATTTGGATATTTCCAATTTAGCATCCAAGAGTCGGGTGTCTAGGGGTCAGATGCGGAGAGATTTGTTACAGTATGGGAGTCGGACACCACAGTAAGGAATTTGGATTTGGGGTTTGTGGCCATAGATGTGGGATTTGGGGGCTTGAATTTGAGGGTTTTGGACTTCAGTCCTGAGAAACTGAGGCCATCCTATACTCCATCCCACATTCCCCCTTCATTTGGGCAGGCAGGGCTCCAGTGTTGGGAGTTGGGGTTGAGATTTGAGGTTTGGATATACAGACTTGGAAGTTTGGGGGGAGGGGGCTTCAGCCAACATAGGTGTAATCTGAGGTTTGTGGAACAGAGTTATGGCTTAGGAGTTCAGTTAGTACTTCATGGCTCTGGGATCCTGATGTGGTTATGCTGGTTCACCTTTATGGGCTTAGAAGGGTGAATGTGGGGTATGTGCCTGCAGAGTTCAGGTTGGGGGCTTACAAACCCCCAACAGACAGGCATTCTGGAATCCATGCTATGGAGTTAAAAGGGTAGATTTGGAGCTCCAGTCTCAATGGCATATTTAGGTTTGGGATTTCGGGAACAGATTTATGATTTCAGAGCTAAGTAAACATCTGTAGTTCAGGAGTTTTGATGGGGAATTTTTGGGGCCCAAAATGTTGAATTTAGAGTAGATTTGAGTCTCCGGTGAAAATATAGTTACTCATTTTTTAGTTCGTGGGACACATTAGACTGAGGTGGTATCCTAATATGTGGAGGGTACAGACATTTACATGGAGACTCCAGGGTCAGCCATTGCAGACCGAGAAGGGCAAACCAGAGTTTGATGTCTGAATGAAGTCTTTGGTTCTGGGGCCCAGTGGTTCATTGACCTGCCTGAGGGTTCAGGGCTATGGACACAGACCTAGGTTTGCAGGTTGAAAATGGGTTTGCATGTGCAGTAGGGGGCAGGGATCACCTGAGGGCTATAAAGGCGGATGAAGTAGGATTTCTGGGGGTTATCCTTCACGAAGCACACAGCCCCACAATGCTCCTTGGTCCAGCGCTCAGCTCCAGGGGGCACCGCCAGGTACAGCTGAACAACTGCGGTGGCCAGTGTCTGGGAGGGAAGAGCAGGGCTCAGTGGAGTCTGGTTGAGGCAACCAGAGGGTCTGGGAGATAGACTTGGTCCTTCCTTGCCCATGGCTGTTCTGACCCCAAAGTAAGAGCCGCAACCAGGGAGACAGTGGATAGATAGACATGAAGATCTTCCTGGGATTGGTGGATGGGGGTAAGTGGATTCTAGGAGAGGAGATGATGGAGAGGGAAAAGAGGAGGAGACTGGGGAAGATGAGGAGAGAGGAAGGGGAGGAAAGAAGGAGAGGGGGAGGATTCGAAAAAGGAGGAAGAGGTAGAGGAGAGGAAAAGGAGGAAAGGGAGAAAGACAGGGAGGGGCAGGAGGTCCCCAGCTCACCCAGCATTTTCTTCCCAGCATGTCGAAGAGTCGCTGGTTCTCCTGGTCCTGGAGGAGGGTGGAAGGTATGTTCTGCTGAACTGCTAGTGCTCCGCGGCCCCCAGGTCTGCCTCCCGCAGGGCCCCCACTCATGGTGCCTCCTGCCCTTGTCCTCTTCAGCTAGTCTCTGGGTGCAGGGTAAGAAGAGGAACTTCCGCAGTGAGCAGGGGAACAGGAAGTGCAAAAAACCACAAGAGAAACAAGTCCTCCAGAGGCCCCTCGGTGGGCCTGGGCTCCTCCTCCCTAGGACAGGCTTGGACCCTCTGCCCTCAGACTGGGACCCTCCTCCATCTGACTGGTTAGACCCATCTTTTGGACCAATTCATGTACTGTTCCTTCTTTCTTACTCTCTGGGACCCATCTCCCTCCGACTGGCTGAGATCCTGCTCCCTCTGTTTGGCAGCAAGAGCTAGGCCACTACAGCACTTCTGTAGGGCGTTCTGCCATGACTGGGAACAGTCATGGGGCTGAGAGGCCTCCTTCCTCCTCAAAGTATCCAGTTGGCCAGGGCCTGAGGTCGAAAGCCCGTAGCGCCCAAGGATTACTGTCCTAAAACTTTTCCTTTAAGGACACAGTGAGTGGTGAGTGCCTGGGATCCCACCCTTCTCCTGAGAACCCAACAACCTGGCTCACTGCCCTATCCCTTACTCTTGCCTTCCCACAGCTGCCAAATTACTTTCTGCTTATCATCACCTTTTTTTTCAAGAAAGGAATGCCTAAACAACATCTTGTTTCATTCTCATTGCTTTTGAACTTTTAAAGTATGTTATCTTCAGAGACTTGCTTTTCTCCCACTCAACATTTTATTTTTATCTAACATTCATGTAGCACGGCGTATGTGTGCCAGGCACTGTTCTGACCCCTTTGTAAATACTGACTCACTTAAATCCCTCATAACAGCCTGTGGGACACACGAAGTTACCATGTCCATTTGACAGAGGGAAATGAAGGAACTGAGGCACAGAGTGGTTGAGTGACCTTCCCATGAGCTCCCAGCTCGCAAGTGGGAGAGCCCAGATTGCACGCCAGGCTGGCTAGGTGCAGAGGGCACACTTTTCATCACTATGCTCCACACCCTTCTCTTTGCCTGTTACTGAGACTTGTATTTGCCTGCAATTGGTAGTTCATTTTTACAGCTATATAGTGTGACTGTGCAACTTGTTTATTCATATTCTCCTGCTAACAGCTGTTTCTGGCTGCTGCTGTTGGGAGCCATACTGCTGTGTTCACTCCTGTCCACATTAACTGGCCCACACAGGCATGCACACTCTCAGGAGGGGAGTCAGGAAGTTGTAAGGTTTGCATATCTCTAACTTCACCAGATAATGCTGAACTGTGTCCCCAAGTGAATGCTAGCTCAGTCCTTGCTCTTCCCAGGGTCTCAGTCTCGCATTTGGGAGCACAAAGCTCTCAGGCACACACAGAACAGTTTGGGGGAGCCGAGCATGTCTGAAATGTGACAAATTCCTGGGTACCTGAAGGGAAATAACACATCTCAAGGTGAGACCCACGGTGCTGCCTGGAAAGCTGGTTGGCTCCCCATGCTGGTAGGTTCAAAGATTCTCTCCCTAAGCCTGGGCTCAAAGCCCCTTCCGGTGTGGCAGTTCCAACCTCTATCCCACTTCTCCTCCACCCTCACAACTCGGCTCATGGTGACCCAACTCACCAGGCAATTTCCTACCTCCAGGCTTAGGCTGCCTTCCAGCCTGTCCACTGGGGCAAGCCACTGCTTTTCCTTAAAAAAGCCATTGCATTCACCCATTTTAACACTGCCCATTGAGCTCTCCCTCTCTGCAAAGCACATATCCAGTATCTGGCACAAACCAGGCACTCAGTAAATGAAGGAATGAATGAGGGGTTCATGTCTAATTGATTTAACGTTTTCTGAGTATTTTCTAAGTGCTTTACTTTATTAGCTCATTTCGTAGTCACAGACAAGGCCAGGAGATAAACACAACTGTCACCTCCATTTTACTGATATGGAAGCTGAGGCCCAGAGTCTAGCTAACTCGCCTGTGATCACAGAACTTGTGGAGCTGAAGCTAATTATGTGAATTCCTAAACTGTTCCGTGCCACCCGGGGCTGAGATAAAATTCTGCTCCTTCTCTGCCTCTTTTGTTCTGCACTTTCCCACTCCTTTCTCTGCCTCTACATCTGTCCCCTTTAAGTCTACATCAGGGGGCCTTAAATCTCTACTACATCTGCTGGTTCTTTTTTAAATTAACATTTAAAAGTGTATTTCCTGTTCTTACTTCCAAGCAGCAGACAGGTTTAAAATGTATATTTTGTCTAAATAATAAAAAAAAAAAAACCTAAAGTAGATTTTTTTCTTTGAGTCCTTAACAGAATGAGTTTCCGCATTTTGGAATATAGTGATTTATTAATCATCTTAATACCATTTTTCATATTATTCAGATTATTGAAGTAGTGTTGACCTACATGATTCATTTGGAGCTGGTTTATTTTATCTTTATGTGCCCCATCCACTCTTGCTTTTCTGCACTGAATGACAGTATTTGAGGAGGTGATGGCCTCAAAGGTACTTTGCTCTCCTGGGCCTTCAAATAGATTTAAAAAGAACAAAACGTTAATCCAGCCTTTCCAGTTGTCCTCTGCAGGAGTGTGGGTAGAATACAAGTCAGTCCAACACAGCTGGGAGAAGTTCTAACTTAATTCTTAGTAACCCTGTGAGTGCCCAGGAACCCTAAGAATTAGGATATGCCCAGTAATTTACACTCACCTCTTCTCTTACCACCTCCTCCAACCGAACTCCCAGGAGTCACCAGGTGGAGAGTCACTTCTTGTTTATATCTTGTGCTTATTTTGCTTTATTTTTTAAAATATTTTATTTATTTATTTTTAGAGAGAAGGGAGGGAGGGAGAAAGAGGAGAGAAACATCAATGTGTGGTTGCCTCTCACAGGCCCCATGCTAGGGACCTGGCCCATAACCCAGGCATGTGCCCTGACTGGGAATGGAACCAGCGACCCTTTGGTTCACAAGCCCATGCTCAATCCACTGAGCTATACCAGCCAAGGCTTATTTTGCTTTATTTTGAAAGGATATTGCCTACAAGATCGACTGCCACACCTGAAGCCATGAGTAGGTAAAAAGACACAGTTCATGAGAAAGACATGGCGGTGTCTTCCATATTGTGGTCATCACCACATGACTGAGTCCACGAAGGAGACATGGGCACAGGTAGGGTCCCACTGCTGTCTGCTGAGACCAAACTGAGGCCGACATGGCAGCATTTCCATTGCCACACCACGCTTCTCCTCCCCTTACCTTTCTGCCCCTCATGGTGCTCTGTACCCTGCCTGAGGGGTGCTTCCTGGGAACAGGCTCAACCTGAGGAAACAGCAGTTCGCAACCCTCCAACGCAATGCTCCCTTTTAATAAGAACCATGTTGGGAGGCCTCCTTTCATTGTACCATCCTAGAACGATGTGCGTGTGCTTTACAAGTCTTGGTGGTGTGCAGCTGTCCCCCAGCATCTCAGGCTCCTGCTCACTCAATGCCAAGGCACCACCATCACTCTGACAACCAAAGTCTGCCTACTAGGCATTCCCGAAATATACCCCCAGGGTAGGGAGGTACAGGACCCTCGTCTGTCTTGTTCATTGCTGTATCCCCACCATCCTAGCAAAGGACCCTCCATGCAGGAGCCCAGCTAGTATTTGTTAAATAATCATTGTACGGTCTGGATTTCTCTGCTGTGATTTATTGTCCTCTTCTCACAGGGCTTCCCCTGTCATCTCTTCAATGCCATGCCTGGGGAAAGGAGAAAGAAAAAACTCAGAGTGTGCAGGGGCCGACTCCTCCCACAGAGATGTTTACACTGTTCACTGGTGCTAGAGCCAATGGGTGCTTCGGGGGCCCTCAGGGGAGGTGCTGATTTCTAGTCCTGGTGGGATGGAGTGCGGACAGGGTATGCACAGAAAAACAGAGACACCTGTGGAAATAATAATAGCTCAAATGTTAGAATCATAGATTCTGGAGCCCTACAGCCTGAATCTGGCACTTACCTTAAAGTCTGGTGACCTCTCAGTGCCTCCGTTCTCTTATCCCTAAAGCGAAGGTAGTAATATCCCTGGCTGGTGTGGCTCAGTGGATTGAGTGCTGGCCTGTGAACCAAAGGGTCGCCTGTCTGATTCCCAGTCAGGGCACATGCCTGGGTTGCCCGCCAGGTTCCCAGTTGGGGGCAATTGATATATCTCTCACACATCACTGTTTCTCTCCCTTTCTCCATCCCTTCCCCTCTCTCTAAAAAGAAGTAAATAAATAAAAATCTTAAAGTGAAGGTCGTAATAGCAGTTAAGGTTGTTGAGAATAAATTAGATAGTTCACGTGTAGTGATTAGTACAGAACTTAATATGCTATGTATTATTGTTGTTTTTTATGAAATAGCTGAGTTGGATAAATGAACTACCATCCCTTCAGCCTAGCATTTTCCATGTCCCCCTATCCTGTCCTCATACTCCTCCATCAGACTTTCAGGTCCCACCACCATTGGCAGATGGTCAGTGATCAGAACACATGACCACCACTGCCCTTTCTCTACTTCCCCCTGATGCAAAGCCCATTCCCAGGGACCTATTCTATGGGCTGGCCTGTCCAGACTCTTCCAGGGCTCTCACATTGTCCTGGAACATTCCCTGCTAACCTCAGAGGTCTTACCCATCGTGATTCCTGCTCTTACTCCCCGAACCTGCACAGGAAATCACTGTGCCAGCCAGCCCTCTCCTTCCCTTCTAGGTTAGTGGCTATTAGCCATGGAGCCAGAAGTCCCCTCCTACTCCCTACACTGTCCACATCCTCTAGGTCACAACCAACTCTCCCTACATGGGTGTTCTCTACATCCCTGAACCCCAATCTATGTGCCCCCAAGTGTCCATTCCCCAGCCTGTGACACCAGGTGTCCACACCCAAGTGTGTGACCCCTAGGGGTATCTACTCCCTAATGTGTATGACCCCATGACTGTCCAAGATCCCTGTGTATATGAGTCAAGGGGTGTCCACTTCCCAGTCTGTAGGTCCCACCGGTGGTCCACACCCTCAACTAGGTGGTCCAAGAAGTGTGTAAACGTTGCAGCCTGGAATGGACCACAGCGGGTGTGAGGAAGGATGCAAAATGGA